CTGTCCCAACATCCTTCGCTTTCGGAGCAGATTTGGAGGATGCCTCGAGCGAGGCGCTCATGTTCACGCCCCTAAGGGGGGCCGCCGAGGGGTATGACACGGTCCCGTTCGCGGCCGTTTTGTGGGGATGTCTCAAGCGGTTTGCTTGTTTTCTCTCCCAACATCCTTCGCTTTCGGAGCAGATTTGGAGGATGTCTCGAGCGAGGCGCTCATGTTCACGCCCCTAAGGGGGGGCCGCCGAGGGGTATGACACGGTCCCGTTCGCGGCCGTTTTGTGGGGATGTCTCAAGCGGTTTGCTTGTTTTCTGTCCCAACATCCTTCGCTTTCGGAGCAGATTTGGAGGATGTCTCGAGCGAGGCGCTCATATCCACGCCCCAGGTGGGCCAGATCTTGAGGATGTCTCGTTCGGTTTTTCTGTTTTGGTAGCCAGACTCGTGGGCACAGGTTCTCCTCAGGATGCCACAGGATGCTCCAACAGGCTCCAGGAGGCTCCTGGGGACCACATGAGGTCCCAGGAGGCATCAGGAGGTCACAGAAAGACTCAAGAGGCCACAAGATGTCCCAAGAGTCTCCAGGAGGCCCCAGGAAGCTCCAGGAGGCCTCAGGAAGCCACAGGAGCCCGAGGAGGCCACAGGAAGCGCCAGGAGACTTCGGAAGGCAACAGGAGGCCCCGAGAGGCCCCAGGAGCAGGATGCCTCAGAAGGCAACAGGAGTGGCTCCAATCCCGTGTGTTTTACGTATGCCCCTATAGATTGGGCCTCACCTGGAGCACGAATTTTTGACGTTATATGTATGTTTCTATAAACTGTCCTTCTCCTGTGAACACAATCCTAACTGTTTTACTTATGTTCCTATTTGTTGGGCCTCTCCTGGGGCACGAGTCCTTGGTGCTTTACGTGTGTTCCTATATATTGCCCTTTTCCTGTGGCTCCAATCCGCAATGTTTTACGTACGTCGGTTGCTATATATTGGGCCTCCTTTGGGGCACGAAGCCTCCCTGGGAGGTCCTAGGAGGCCCCAGGAGGCCCCAAGAGGCTCCTGGAGGCCCCAGGAAGTCCCAGTAGGTTCAGGAGGCCCCAGGAGGTCCCAGGCTCATGCGCAGAGACGCGCTCGTACTACTGAGGCTCACTCACACTCCAATTCATTCGCAGTCAGATTCATGACCAGACCGCCACAACTGAAGCCCGTTCATATTCGAAAGCTCTTGCGCCTAGACGTTCGCGGCGGACAGGTCAAATACGAACAGATGCACATATGGGGAGCTCCACGCAGTGAGTACTTTCTGGGCGAGGACCAGCCGCGTCCTCGACCATCTTGCGGAAAACGCCACGCACGAAGCCGACAAAAAATGCATTGGGACGGGACGCCCGGGCGACGGCGGGCGGCCTCCCGAGCTCTCCGAGAAGGCCGCGCCCTGGGCTCGCCGCCGCAAGCCGGAAGCCTCTGGGGCGAGTGCCGCGGAAGCCCGTGCCAAGAACCACTCTGCTTGCCTCCAGGGTAAAACGACGCGAAGATCGGGACAAAATCGGATAGGGATAACTCGAAATCTCTGAGAATCGGCGGGTTTGGAGGATGTTTTGGGCGCCGCGGCCGCTCCAGAGCGTTCCGGAACGCTCTGAGAGCGCTCCGGAACGCTCTGGAGCGATTTATCCCGATCCTAGCCCTGTTTTGCAGGGTGCCCTGGGCTTCTTGGGTCTCGATGGGCTTGCGATGGAGAGCGGAATGTCCCCACACCAAAAGTCAAGAGGGACGTCCTGGGGTGTCGGGGTTGGGGTTTCCCGTGGGAGGTTTCTTGTGGTCGAGCTCCTACTGTGGTGGTCGCCTCCGCCGCTTCGAGGTGGGGCGGCGCGGCTCCAGCGGCGTGCCGCAGCCGTGGACTGGCTCGCTTCTCGCGCAGGGGCTGATGCCGGCGCTGCTGGAGGTCGCGAGCGGGTCGGTCTCCGGCGGGTGGTGATTGGGGGGGAGACTTGAAGGGGGGGTGAAGAACAGTGCCCTCAAGGGGCACGTTTGGGCCCTTTTCTTCACCCCCCGTTTGGGTCCCCCCCCTCACCACCCGCCCAGTGGTTCCAAATCATGTGAGCCTTGGAGCCTGTTGTTCAAAGGTCTTGGCGATTACGGCCGCGATCTCCCCCCCTGGATCACGTCACGCTATTGCGCCCACATTTGCGGCCTTGTCCTACGGATTCTTCGAGGATGTCCTGGGATTTCCGGCGGCCCCCCGACGTGACGTGATCGGGAGGGAACGATTTCCCTCCCTTCCTCCACCGATCACGCCTGGTATCACGAATAATAGAATAAACAGGCTCTTGTGTTCAATCGATGTTCTGTTTTTAGAGTGCACTAACGTCGGTCAGCGTTTGGTTGGTAGTCGATGAGGTAGCGATAGCGCCGATTCAGCGTCGATTCGCGTCGATTCGCGTCGATTCAGCGTCGATTAGTGTCGGCTATCGTCGATCAGCGTGGATTCGCAAGAGCCAACAAGATATTGTGGGAGGCTCCCATGAGCTGCCACCGTTGGCGTGCAGCAGAGTGCCCGTGCTTCTCTTCAGAGTCTGGCAAGTCCAACTGCCTGGAGGGGGAAGGCTGGGAGGGCGCGGCGAGGCCCGGGAGGAAGTCTGCACCTCACGCACGTCGGGACTCGCTCTCACGCCTTTCTCGGCCCCTTGCTGTCCGTAAACGCGGCGGAGGGGGTAGGGGGGGAAGCGCCGTGCGAGGCAACACGCTCAGATCCGTACGTCAGAGGAGGAGAAGATACGGGTTGGGGTCACAACCTTCCCAGCTGAGCAGTTTTAGACCCCCTCCAAGGCCAGCCATCCAAGCGCGGCCCTTTGCCCAGACCCCCCGAACCCCTCCAAGATAGTTAAATCAGACCCCGTCCCAAATCAGACCATCCCCCTTTCATGGTGAAATCCGGAGCATCCTCGGGGAACCAGGGATGACACGAACATGCATTTCTGGAGGTCCGCGCGGACCCCCCCAAAATTTATGTTTATGCGATTCTTGTATTCCTCCACACATGTCAGATACCGATGTGGCTGCAGTCAACCCGCATAGTAAGGATGAGCGACTTCCAAAGGCTATCCTTGCCTTCTTCCCCCTTTGGCCCATCCTCGGGCCGCTTTCGCTGGCCGTGCCCCGCTCGCAAAGTGTCGACGTGGCCTTCCAGGGCCCTCGCGTCCTTCCCGCGCGCGCATGCTCATCACACGGGTTGACCGTACCCTTGCCTCGCCGTTGCCTGCCTCGTGCCGCTGGGAGGCCCTCGCCGCCACGGCCGGACGCCGCCCCGAGACCCCCGGGGGCCCGAGCGCGCCCCTGGCGAGGCCCGGGGAGTGCTGGCGCCCCTCGGCGCCCTTTGGCCCCCCCTCGGCCGACGGTTTCTGCCAGTCGCAGCTGACACGTGGCTCCGGGTATGCATCCGGTGTGCCAGGACAGATCCCTCACTGTGGTTATCTGGCTCCCTCCATGGATCTGCTGGCGCCCCTCGGCGCCCTTTGGCCCCCCCTCGGCCGACGGTTTCTGCCAGTCGCAGCTGACACGTGGCTCGGGGTATGCATCCGGTGTGCCAGGACAGATCCCTCACTGTGGTTATCTGGCTGGCGCCCCTCGGCGCCCTTTGGCCCCCCCTCGGCCGACGGCTTCTACCAGTCGCAGCTGACACGTGGCTCGGGGTATGCATCCGGTGTGCCAGGACAGATCCCTCATGATGGGCCTGTTTTCCACCACCACCACCATAAGTTGGAGGGGGGATGGAGGAGGACGAGGAGGAGGACGAAGAGGAGGTGGAGGAGGAGGAGGTGGAGGAGGAGGAGGAGGACCCCCTCCCCCTCCAACATATGGTGGTGGTGGTGGTGGAAAACAGGCCCATCACCTCACTGTGGTTATCTGGCTCCCTCCACGGATCAAGATGTGCAGAGCAACAGGCCCCTCGGCCCGCGCAGCCCCGCGGCCTGGACCCCTCCGCCGCACGCCCCCACGGGGCGTGCGCGGCGGCTCCGCGCAGGGTGCCCCGCGCGGAGCGTGTCCTGACGATCGCGCGGGCGTCCCGGGGGACCGCGCCCCTCGGCGTCCCGGCCACGAGGGCGCGGACGCGGACATGCCCGCCGCCCGTGAATCTCTTAGACACCCTCCGATGTGTGTGCGTGTGCGTGTGCGTGTGTGTGTGTGTGTGTGTGTGCGCGTGTGTTTTTCCCTCTCGTGCCCCAGAGGTCCCGCCCTCTTCCCTCGGGGGTTAGCTTGTCGCCCCGGATCCATGGCCCCGTGGCCCTGGGGTCCGGCTGTGGCCCTGGGGCCCGACCGAGGGGCCCCGGGAGGCCGAGGTCGGAGGAGGGCTCCCAGGCTGGGAGAAAGATAGAGCTTCGGGAGAAGACAGCTTCGGGCATCTGGGGCAGGAGCAGGGCGCGCAGTTCCCCTCTGGCTTCCCCGAGCTCGGCGCGCTCGTCGAGGTGGTCGGCACCTTCCCGTCGGGCGGGCATGCGGTCGTCACCGCCGTCGACCGCGAGAAGGGTACCTGCAAGGTGCAGCTGATGCAGGACGGTCGCCTGACCCGCCGTGTGAGGACGATCAAGTGCAAGTACACCCGTCCTCTGCGCCGCGAAGAGATGCGGCAGTAATCAGCACGTGATCGTTGGAGCTGGATGGGGGGGCCAGCGCTGGCCACGCCCAGCAGAGAAGGGGGGAGGCAGGGGCCCCGTCGTCGCCACGGCTGGGCACGGCTCCCCAAGCTGGTTACGTTCGACTCCAGGGAGGGGTCCAGGGGTTGATTTTGAGCGGATTTGGCCTTTGCCTTGCCCCCCCCCCCCCCCTCTTGACCGGTTGTCTCGGGGCCCCTCCAGCGCAGACCCCATGGCCGCCTCTGACGCTGGGGCGTTGCCTGTTCGCCAGGTGGTCGCAGCAGGTGTTGTTTACAGGCCATGGTCGGCGTATGCCCGTGCACGCTCCGCCGGCCATGATGTACGAATACAGTGAGGGGGCGGGAGCATCTTCCCGGTCGTCCTCGTCC